AGATTAGGTACGAGCGAGTGGAAAGAGGAAAGAGAGGGGTGGATGAGAGAAATGAGGGAAATGATAAGGGAGGTGAATAAGGAGATAAAGGAGGAATTGAAAGAGGAGATAAAGAAGCAGGGAAGGGAGATAAGAGAAGAAGTAGAAGGCATGAGGAAACAGTGGGAGGAGAAAGAAAAAATATGGAGGAAGGAGAGTAGAGAGCTAAGGGAAAGAATAGAGAAGCTGGAAAAGAAAGCAGGGGAAAAAAAGAAGGAAGAGGGAAGGATGAGGGGTACGGAGGAGAAGGAGGACAAGACAGAGGAAAGAATAGGGGAACTGGAGTGGAAATGGGAAATGAAAGATAGAGAGGAAAGAAGGAATAACATAATAATAAAAGGGAAGAAGGGGAGAGAAGGAGAGATAGATGAAAAAATGAAAGAGTTAGTAAAGAAGTTAGGAATGGAAGATGAGGTGGAGAGTATGAAGGTATTGGGTGGAGGGAAGATGGGAAGAATAAGGATAAGGAGATTAGAGAAGAAAAGGGAGATTATGGAGAAAAGGAGGAGTGTGGCAGAGGAGGAGATAATGATAGAGGACGATTTGACATGGAAAGAAAGAAGAACAAAATGGAGACTGGGGGAGATAGCGAGAGTGGAAAGAGGAAAGGGGAGGAGAGTAGTGGTAGGTTATGGGAAATTAAATATAAATGGGAAATGGTGGAGATGGGATGAGAGGGAGGAAAGATTAATAAGTAGGGAAGGGAAAATATGGACGAGAGAGGGGAAAGGAGGGGGAGGGGTAGTGGGGGGGAAGGGTAGAGATGGTGGGGGGGAGAGACGTGGGGAATAGCGTTCTGGAATGTGGCCGGAGTGAGAAACAAGGATAAAGATTTTTGGCAAAGAATAAAAGAATGGGAGATAATAGTAATGATGGAAACGTGGTTGGATAGAAAGGGATGGGAAAGAATTAAGGGGAAACTTCCAAAGGAATATACATGGAAAGTGCAAGAGGCAAAAAGAAGGAATAGGAAAGGGAGGGCATGCGGTGGTATGTTGATGGGAATTAGAAAAGGAATGGAGATAGAAGAGGAAGAAGGAGAGGAGGAAGAAGGAAGAATAAAGTGTGTGGTGAGAGTAGGAGGAAGGAAATGGAGGATAGTAGGAGTATACGTGAATGGAGATATGGACAGGAAAATGGAGGGAGTGAAGGGATGGATGGAGGAGAGAGAGGGAGACAGGAGAACAATAATAAGAGAAGATTTTAATGCAAGGACGGGGGAGGAGGGGAGGAA